AAAAAAACAGCTTAAAACATCAATGTAATTGTTTTATTATTATTATTATTATTATTATTTGGAGTATATATTCATGCACTATTCAAATTACAGTTTTTGCATAATATATACAAATACAGTACTTGGAAGTTCGAAAAACAAATAACAAATAATGGTAGAAGTTTTATAAAAACATAAAAAAATCTATAAAATTTTACATGAATCTGCTGTTTTATAATTTAAATTGTAGTAGATTATAAAATAGTGTTTTGATTTCACATAAGCAGAATATATGTCTAATTTGTTTTTTTTTTTCAGTGATAAATAATAAAATAAAATAATTTTTCTCTCTTTTCAAACTCTTACTTGACTATCTATCCATTTCAAAATGAATTCAAAATTTTTAATTATTTAGATATCTAATATCTATAAAAAATTTAAAATTAAACTCAACTAACCTAATTTATTTGTTTAAAATTTAAAGAAACGTAAAATTCTAGTTAACGTATTGATAATTTCTCCAAACTGAAAATAAAATAATTTCATCATTAAGGCGACTGTCATGTTATGTTATTTACTCATCCTCCATTGCATCTTCACCTCCATTATTTTCTTCTTTCTAGACTCTAGACATAAACCCTAGACCCCAGGGAAAAACAACCAAATCCACGACATCAGTGAAATTCCTACACTTCTTTCTCATCCATGGCACTCTCCCCTTCTTACTCTACCCTTCAATCTTCCTCATCCTCTTCTTCTCCTCCATTAATCACGACATCTTCCATTTCCCTCAATTTCTTTCTTTCTCTCCCAGAAGTCACTTCAAAGAAAACCCATCACCATTATTTCTCCAAGATTTTGTCAATGAAACCAGTTTCAATATCAGTAATGTAAATATTATTTTCTAAAAAATAATTTGACTTTTGAGAGAGATATATATATATATATATTAAACTTAATTACGAGATTAATTGTCTTTTTGTATATATATTTTTTCCAGACGATGGTGGTTGAAAGGAATAAGAATAAGAGTCGGATGGAGGTTATGGAGGAAGGACTGGCTCGAGCGAGGGCGGCAATAAAACAGGCGTCACAGCGGCGGAGTTACACGTCGAGTAAGGAGGAGAGCCTTGTTCCGAGAGGAGCTGTTTACAAAAACCCTTATGCGTTTCATCAGTTAAGATTTTTTCTCCTTATATTTACTCTCTCTTTTGACTGAATCTTACTCTATATATAACAAATCTCCTCAAATTGCTACTGTAGAAGTGTTCTTGAAAATCTTAGAAGGATTAACACTTTTTTAAACAATTTAGCTCAATAAAAAAAACTATTGTAGTTTTTTTCTTAAATAATTGTTTCAATATTTGTGTTTGTTTTTCTATTCTTTTTTTTTTTATTGCTAAATTGCAACTGTTATTTAATTTATTTACGTTATTGTTCTAGTTTCACTACAAAAATTTCCATAGCAGTCGGTTTAATCTTTTTATCTTATTGAGTAGGTCATATTATTGAGATTTTAAATTTAATAAATATCAATTCAAAACACAAAATTTTTGGATCAAAACCTGTAAAGGTCTCAAAATTATTTTAGGATTGGCTTTCATAACAAATTGAGTACATAGTATCTCATGATTTCTCCCAATAATATTAAAAAGGCATGGTTATTGCCAGTTTGCCTATTTGAGAATATACAACATTATAATCCTAAATTTCTTGTAATTTTTTATGAATTTGAGTGCCTTTTACACTCTCACTAATTCATTTTGCTTATCAAATTTTTTAAGGAATTGAGTGTCCCTTGCACTCCCATCAATTCATTTTACTTATACAAAAAAAAAAAAAAAATTGCTAGTTTGCCTTAAAAAAAAATGCTTTGTTTAGTTTGACAAATAATAATAATAGTTCATAGTTGATTGAAGGTATTTATTATTTAGGCAGTGTTATAGGGACAATATTTTTATATTACTTTTTGATACAACTTTCATATATCATGTATCATTGAATGAGTGAATGTATTTAATATCATAGATTTTACATGAACAAAAAGATTCAATCATTTAAATGACAGTCAAGTTATACCAAAATATAATAAAGAAAAATTATTCCAAAATCATTTTCCTTATTACTTAATAAAAATTTAAATTAACTTATGTTTTCAAACACATCCTTTATGATATGTATGAATAGCCACAGGCATATTAAAAGGTGTCTAGAAAAAACTGTTATCCACTTTTGCATTGAACATCTATTATTGTTCTGGGAAATGTTATTATTGCATGCATGGGTAATGTTCAGGAGTCACATTGAGATGGAGAAGAGGTTCCGGGTATGGTCCTACAAGGAAGGGGACCCGCCTTTATTCCACACCGGGCCCATGAAAGACATCTACTCCGTGGAGGGGCAGCTCATCGACGAACTCACCAGCGCCGACAGCCCCTTCTTGGCTCGCCACCCTGACGAGGCGCTAGCCTTCTTCCTTCCGGTCAGCATTGTCAACATCGTATGTTTTGTCTACCGCCCTTACACAAATTACTCCCGTGACAGTCTCCAGAACATTGTCAAGGACTACATCACTCTAGTTGCTGGTAGATACCCTTACTGGAATCAGAGCTCCGGCGCCGATCATTTTCTCGTCTCCTGTCATGATTGGGTATGCCATTATTTAAGCATTAATTCTTCCTCAATTCAACGGAGACAAAAATTAAACTATATATTTTTAAATATTTTATCTCAGGCACCGGACGTTTCAGCCGCCGATCCCGAACTTTTCAAGAATTTCATCAGAGTTCTTTGCAATGCCAACTTATCGGAGAGATTTAAACAGGCTAGAGACGTTTCAATGCCCGAAATCTTCCACCGATATGGGCAACTCGGCTCCCCTGACCTCGGCCAACCCCCTAACAACCGCTCCATCCTCGCTTTCTTCTCCGGTGGCGCTCACCGGGTTGTCAGAAAGATCCTATTTGAACACTGGAAGGAAAAAGACGACGACATCCTCGTTTACGAGTACCTCCCCAAAACCCAGAATTACACCCAACTAATGGGCCGAAGCAAGTTCTGCTTGTGCCCTAGTGAGTGGGAAGTGGCCAGTCCAAGGGTGGTTGAATCCATATACGCCGGCTGTGTGCCGGTGATAATCTCCGATCACTACGTGCTGCCGTTCAGCGATGTGTTGGACTGGAGCCAATTTTCAGTTCACGTACCCATTTCAAGGATACCGGAGATAAAATCAATACTGCTAGGAATTTCGGAGGCTGAGTATTTAGCGAAACAGAGGCGGGTTGTTCAAGTGCAACGACATTTCGTGTTGAACCGGCCGGCAAAGCGGTTTGATTTGATGCACATGGTGATGCATTCAGTGTGGCTCAGAAGGTTGAATTGGAGGCTGCCCATTATGTGGTTGTTAATTAATTTCGGAAGGAAAATGGGAGAATTTTTTTTGCAATAGTTGTAGGCAATATACCCTGTATAATAATTCACAAGGATTCATCTTGAAAAAACACATTAGAAAATTTCATTAATCCATTCAATGGGTTCGGTAATTTGTTTCAAGATACCATGATTACATCTACCATTCAATAAACAATCATAGTTTGCAGATATAACCTAAGAACATTTCTGACAATCACTTGAAAACTTTTGGAATCTTAAGGATTTTTTGCTTGGTAGAGTTCGTCCAAGTTTGCATTGTCTTGTGTATCTGTAAGAAGCAAGGATATTACTGATTATTACTAAGAAAACAAGCAAGGATATTACTGATTATTACTAAGAAAACAATGCCCTATAAGTGTCTGTTTTCATTCTTTGCTACGAAGCAGTAAACAAGTGTTCTCAATTGAGTTCTGAATTTGATAGTGCCTTTAAAAACTTTGAACCTCAGGAAAAATGTGCAAACCACGAACACTTAAATTGATACAGAAAAGGCACTCTGTACATTTGCAGTTGTTACTTCTGTTGCAGCTGCAAGACTCAATTATAACAGCTCTTTCTTGGATGATTTCTACAGCTGCATGTCTGCTTTAGACCAGTTTGGTAAGAAATAAAATTCCTAGTTCTCTCTTTCAATTTATAAATAAATCTTTCCTTACTTGTTTCATTGATGACGGTCTCTACTGTTTTTGTGACAGATCCGGGCTATATTGTACTGAAAAGTAAGTAGGAACTGTTT